CAGGTCCAAAAACTACTCCAGGCAGCTGTACAAAGCGTCCTCCACCGTGCTCGCCGCCGTCCGCCGGGCCCACAGCGTTCGTGCCGCCGCGCCGCGCGCGGCCGTGCTGGGCGACACGGGCGTCGAGCCGGTGGTCGTGGCCACCGTGGGACCGGAGCTGCCGGAAGTGGTGCTGACCTGGGATCGGCGCGGACATGAGCAGTGAGAAGGGCAGTTCTGGAGCCCCAGTTATGGAGTCCCCCTATATAGATCACATATGGAACCATTGCAATTGGAATTTTTATATGTGGGTCAAGAGCGGCAATGATTGGAGAGCCTGTAAGATCGACAGTCAAGAAAAACAGAAAAACGTCCGGCTGTTCAATGATTTTGCTGATGCCAGTAGTGCATGGGCGCGGTGGTAGTAGTCAGTAGGAGTAGTAGCAGTAGAGGTAGCAGTAATGAGCAGGCCTCGTCTCAAGGTCAGTCAGCCGGCACCCCTTCACAACAGAAACCTCCCACTAATCTTTAGTCAAGGCGAGGACTCGTTCCCCCGAGTGATATCGATACGATTTTGCGAAACAAAAACTGGACTGTTTGCTCTTCATCTTCCATGCTATCCCCCCCAACAAAAAACACAAACATATATATTATATCAAATATATATAATTATAGAACAAAGTAACACAATACCTAACATTGCCTAACTACCTGCCTAACTACTAGCGATGCACTGGTCTAAATTCCTTCCAGCTGCCACATCCGCTTCCTCAGTGTCTTTTCTCTCCAGCAGCGGGCGATTGGGGCGGCTCTCCATCCGGCGCAAACACCCGTCCGTTCCGCGCCCCGTTCGAGCTCCGCTGGAACTGGCGAGACCATGCCCAAGCGAAAAGAAACCGTGCCCAGACCATCCCATGTATGGAAAAATGACCTCATCCAGGACCCGACACCATGGGGGTGTCGATTTATAGCCCCTTAGCCTTAGCTGTGATTCGAGGTGTCCATTCACCACCCCTTGAAGGCCCTGGATGTTACCTACAGTTACTCCAATTTATGATCCCAATCACTCTTCCACTGGTTTGGGAATGGCCACTGCTTGAACAGTGCCCCTTTGACAGCAAAGCCCTTGTCGTTGCGCCTTCTTGCCAAGCATGCCAGAAGAGACATCAAGCTGGAGGCCTGCGTTCCGGTGTAACGAGGCGTTGGGAGGTGGAACGCTGACAATTACTTGTGTACAATGTTGCAATCCATCCGAAAAGGAATTTCCGAGGCCAGTCAATCACTTTCACTTCAGGCAAAGCCATAAAATCACAATCTTCTCTTTTGTTCCAAATGAAGACTTACAAGTTTAAAAAATCCATGGTGCTGAGAAATCTCCCTCATTCCCCACTGCTTGGAGGGTGGACAGCCCGTTCCTGAAACATGGGTGAATGGACACAAAGTGAACTTGGGATGGCTGCTGCGCTAGTATTTTCATATCATGCAAAGAATCTTAGGTGAACCAGTTGCTTCTCGAGGTATTGGACTCTACTAACATGCGACCCGAGGTATTGGGTGGTTCCCCAGTCTCAAGTCTACCGCCTGACAGGCGTTTTGACCCCAAATCTTACGAGACTTCTGTGCATCCAATGAGGACCTCGACAGCGATGAGGTCCTCTTCGTCAGAATTGCTTGGAGTTTGATCACCTCCCTGGAGGTCAACATGCTTCATTAGGCCACCCACTAGGCCACCCCAAATCTTACACGCGGCCCTGTGGCCAGGATGGAGCGCTGAAGGAACGAAGGTTTGGAGCGCAGACGACAAAGGACGTCGATGGCCGAGAGGAGAAACATGCGGTCAAACCATTGGCTATACACCAGCGACATGCGGTGAACCACTCCTAGAAAAAAAGGATCACCAAGAACGCGATCGCACATTTGTGAGGCTAGCCCCGGGATCATAAGGTCTGGCCATCTGGATGCCTCAAAAATCACATCTGATCAAAGTCAAAGAACCCAACCTGCTGGCAAATCTGCGCTGTTCGCGCTGCTCTGTGATCTCTAGGAATTGGGAGGATGCCTTGTGAGGATTCCTGGCCGATGCCCAACGCCATTTTATGAGTGGGGATCCAAATCTTCCAGCTGGAAGAGAACCACAAACTGATTGCCAAACAGGAGACTTCCTCTTTCTTTGGGGGGAATAGCTTTGACTTTTTAAAGGTCAGCAGGTCCCTCCGCGAAGAGTACCAAAAAGTTGGTTCCAATGTTCAACCACGCGGTCTTATATCTATGGTCAACACCTGCATTGTCCACAATCACTCTTACCACAAGGCTGATAGAGAACATGCCACTGTACGTAGTGCTGCAATGGGCGTAAAATGCAGTAGAAGTATGTAAAAGTTGCCACCGATGGAGCTCAAAAAAATACACAAGCTTCAATGTTCAACCGGGTGGGTGTCTTCTCCCAATGAAATCCACATGGTTCAACCCTTCTGGCCATTTCTCCGTCCAGATCCAGCCTTTCGGTAGCGCAATCTCCTCTGAACGGTGGCATTCTGCCTACCACGGATTTGCGATGAGGAGCCCCAGTATCAAAATGAGAAACATTATAAATAACAGTTATATAATAACATTATATATAAACATTATGTATATAAATAATATGTTAATAATAGTTATATGATATAATTGTAAAATCACAAACAGTTTTGTTGCATGATGTCCTGTATCAACATGAAATTCACCTTATGGATCCACTCACCCTAACATCTGCCAGCTGAGGCCCATGGCAAGCTGGCCTCCAAACAGTGCGCACAAACACTCAATGGATCTTGAGACAAAACATGACAAAACAATGGGAGCCACTTAGTCGAATGCAACGATACATGTAAAAGTCAAGCGGCTTCTAGTGCAGCCCATGTGCTGCCCGCCTGCTGAGATGTGTTTTCTTGTTTTCAGCAAATTCCCTCAGTCAGAGTCTTGATGAGCACACCAAATGATTCCAGGTGCTTGAGAAAAACAAATTGATGAAGTGGAAGTGACCAACAAGGAAAAACTCTAGGCACTAAAATGGGGGCAATAATGGGCAATATATGGGTCCATACTTAGCTGCACCCACCTTCTGCTGCGCGTCCTTTTGGGTCATTGCTCCCACCACTGCCTCGTGACCGAACCCCCAGCACCTGGAAATCCAACAAGAAGCCTTGCCCATCTCTCCTCTGCACAGGAGCGGTAGCCGAGGCAAGTAATTAACAAAATGCATTAAGAACCCTACAGACTGGCCCATGATCCACAAGCTTTGAATCGATTCAGATGTTGCATTTGCACTGTATGATATATTGTACTATCATAGAATACTAGCATATACTATCACAGTCCAATTCATCCGAAGAATCCTCTCACCCATGCTTAATTTTGAGGCAATTGTGGGAGTACTAGTGGGTGTCTCCAGTTCAAGCAGGGATGCATTTCAAATTTCAAATACAAGTGACTTAGATTCAAATATTAATTGTGCGGCCCTTGTACTTCAGTCAGGTAAAAGCCAGCTATTGTATAAACATGTGTTCCTCAGAGTCCAGAGCTCCGAGCAAGCTGTCAAGAGATCATGGGTTGAAGATGGTTGAAGGCTTGAAGATTCGGTTATGCCCATGCCTGTCACAAAATAGCAACTCAAAATCTGACGTTGAAAAAAGAATTCCAAACAAGCTTTTCTTCCGGACATCCATCTGGGCAAAGCACTCTTGCATAGCACTCTCGCCGAACCAGGCCTCGTACTCCAGGCCGCTTACTTTGAACTTCTTAGTTCGGGCACCTGGAGCCTGGCGTATTCGGCTATGGCAAGTTGGCTCAAGTGTTCGGCTGCACTGACAGGCATGACTCGGCTGCCAATCTGACCGTCGACTGCAACAACTGTTCAACTGACTCGGACAGGTGGCTGGCGCTTGGTACCCCGTCTTGTGCGAGATGCTGTCAGGCCGGATTCAGCCGCTGACCTCTTTTAGCAAAGTATGGCCGGATGTGAACTGTTGCCAAAAAACACATACAATCAACACAATGCATCATACTGCATACTCTTGCTGTTTGAAATGATGGTTGCGGTTGCATTCGCCGCAAGATCAAGATCAAACCGGGAGATACTGACTCAGTATCACGAATTGTGGAGCTTCCAGGAAACGTGCCACATCTGAAGAATGCGAAAGTTTACATGACAAGAAAAAGGCTTGAAAGCTCCAGAAAGATTGGCACCCTGGCCTGTGCAGAGTGCATGCAGCATGCATTCATGTCAATTATCAAATGCAGGACGATGAGCTGCACCACAAGCTGTGACAAGAACCAGCTGGCGCAAAAGCTTGGAGCAAGAGGCTCGATCCATTGTCCCCGCGAAGTATCATGAGGTCAAATGGACTAATTATTGGTATTGGAACCTCGGCTTGAGGCAATCCAACTGCACAGCTGAGTCAGCTGAGCAGCTAGTTGAAGCATCATACGGCTTCTCTAGATCACTGCCGCCGACCCCCATGATGCCACTCCTCACCAGTGCAGTCGTTCGAGTTCCCCACTGTGGCGATATTGCCAAACGGAGCACAACTCCCGGCCAAGTTTGCAGCAAGCCTGTTGGCACTTATCTGCACTCTTGACAGCAGCAAGTGGGTTCAAACCAAGACACTGTTTAGATTGGACATCCCACTTGCACATGGTACCAGCAAGCGTTTGGTCCACAGCTTCCTCATGTTTAAGAGTTCCTTTGGTCTGGTCCAACTGCTCTTGAAGGGCTGTTTCTTTTTGACTCATCTCGTCTGCCTTCTTTTGGGCCAGCTTCGAGGCCGTCTCTGCATGTTCAAATCGTCTTGTCATTTGGGTCCACTGCCACTCTGAGTTGCAGTGCATCACGATCACAGTCAGGACCACCATGATAGCCACAGCAATAGTCATAGCAAAACCAGGCCGAGATCTTATACCCATCCGGATGCGGGAGCAATTTGACAGTTCAGGAGGCTTCCAAGTCTCCACTTCGGTGGTTGGAATGAGTTCAATGTCTGACCAGGGCAACTCCTCCACCGTGGCTCTCCTCCAGTCGAAGTCCAACCGCTCAACATGCTTCCCACAAGCAGCTGCCACCGTGCAACAGCCGCTCTTGAACACACGCAAAGCAGAGTCATTCTGTGGAAACGTCTCACAATGCATCCTGGCATCTGCCGCCACACGCTGGGCCAAGGCCTTTTGCCAAAGGCATCGAAATTCGGCTGAGCACAGCTGGCTATGCAACACACGTTCCAGCAATGCCTTCAACTCCTGCACTCCCTGCGGTTGGCCCCCTGGTGGGAAACTTGTGGAAAGTGGTTCTTCCACTTCTGCCCCAGTGTTTTGAAAGGCTTCCTCTGCAAGGCTCTTGATTGCGGACAAAAGCTCAGGCAATTCCTTTCGATGCTCCGTGTCTGCCTTGGTGGCCACAGGAAGGACCTTGATGGGAAAGCGCCTGTCAAACTTCAGCTCTTGCAATTGATTGCTCATTTTCTTTGCTTCATCTCTCTGGAACTGACGGATGGAGGACACCGGAACGCAAAGCATGATGATATGAGGAGTGTGTTCTGAGACCAAATGCTTGTCTTTCAAGATCTGTTTGTATTGCGACTTGATGTCCGTGCTGGTTTCGTGGCTCCATCCTGGAGTGTCAATTAGCACCAGCCGGAGATCCTTCGTAAGACCTTCGAGCTCGAGATCGAAAGCTTGTGCATTGAGCGTTCGATTCCTCAAATGAGGCCCGGCTTCAACATTGGGATTGAACTTGTCACCGCCCAAGGCTTTACAAATGGTGGTTTTGCCAGCGCCTGCAGCACCCAACACCACACAGCTGTGGTTGAGGATGAGCTGAAATGGCACCTTCACCACTTTCTCGATGAAGCCAGGCTGTGCTTCCAAGACTCGTGTATCCTGAAAGCCTGTCTTCACATGCTCTTCGATCTTTCCAAGTAGCCTTGGGATCTGCGGGTCGTTCACCAATGTATATGATGAACCGGGCGAAGCAGCTTCGGGGCATGCGTCGGGCACTTGGCCCCCGGAAGCCACACTCTCCGAAGCCGTGCCATCGGAGAAGGTGCTCGCCGCGGAATCCGCAGCCTGAGGCTGGTCGGGTTCGCAGTCCGACAGCAAAGGGCGAGGATCCATCGCACGATACCGGCAGAACTAGACTTGTCAGCTGGCAACCAAAACTGAGCGCCAAAGCAATGCTGAGACCGTGATCGAGTATACATGGAATTACATGGAGACGGTACACAAACCTTGCACGATCTTGCAAGGCATGCTTCAATCAGGCTCATCCAAGGACAAACCCGGCTTGTAAGTGTAATAGAATGTCCAGAAAATAGAATGACCTTGTCTGCAAACTCTTAAGGCTCCTTGTTCCGAGCTTGAAGGACCTGAACTAGACTATCCCAGTTCGGTACCCCAGTAAGGAAGGTTCCTATTTACCGTAAATAGGACGATACGTATACCCCTTACTCGTCCTTAAGGCCCTCTCGTCCTGCCTTACTCGTCCTGCCTTATCCGCTGTCTCCACGAGACGGCCGGGCTCGCCGCCTCGGGGAGCGGAGTGGACGGCCGAGAACGGCCCGAGAACGGCCGAGTGGTGCCGGGTCGGCCGGTTGTGGGGCGGCAGTCCGGCAGTCCCAGGTCCAAGTCGTGTCTGGGAAAGTACACCTCAGTTTTGGGGGCTTGCTTCAACCACAGTTACGTGTTGAGTGTCACCCTAACTATAAATATGATATAGACATCCAGTGTGTTTGGAATGGCCACGATGTCAAACAGCATCTCAAACAAATCTATCACATTGTAAAAATCGATACGTCGCCACGATCGATGGCAACATGAGCCCACCTGGGATTTCGAGCTACAGGACGAAAGCTAGCAGGGGTGCATCCGGACTGGTGGGACATCAAGCGGAGTGAGGCAAATGCTCATGAGGTTAAACGTTGTGAACATGTAAGACACACAAACAGCAATGACACAGCCAACCTTAGAATTGAAGTCCCCGATAATTAAGGAAGCGTGGCTGGACTTTGCCACACTGTTCGATGCATCCGATGTGTTCACAAACCTAGCTGGTGCTAGCTTTCGTGACTTGGTCAACTGGATTTAGACTCTTAGAGTCCAGGGGGTATACTCCAAATGGTCACCCTTCCTAACAGTACCCTTAGCCTCAGAGAAGACTCTAGACCTCAACTTCCGCAGCCTGGCCGCCTCCCGGCCCAGTCGTACACATGGCCCCTCCTCCGGTCTCGTGGGTCAATGGTGCGACAGGTCCGGCGGATCGGAAAAGGGTCAGAGAGAGTGTCCACCTGCAGAAGCACTGACCACGCCTGCCCTGGTTTGACAGGCGTACAAAACACAAACAAACACATACACTCCCTGATACACACATGAAAGTGGACAATTCACATCAATTAACAGGTGTTCCAGGAGCCGATGGTCCACTTCCATGATTGTTGGGACGGTCAATCACGGGACCCTTCTCCCCATCCTCCTCATGCTTGTCATTTTGGGGTGCCAGTGGCACGTGGTGTGCGTCTCTTGATCCAGGGCGCTTGTGTATCTACAGCGCGGCGAAACACACATTCTTGGGCTGTTCCCACACTTACCTGGCTTAGCCAGCAGCAAGTGAGCGCAAACTGGTTGGCCGCAAGGGGTTCCGAAAGAATAAAAGCCACAGCAAGCCAACATCCAGAATTAGACATGCAAGGAGGCCTGCGAGCCATAGAAGTGAAAATTGGGTGACCACCACGGCCAGTATGCCATGTTGAGCAAAGACCAAAAGATCTCCAGCCTTTAGCACTGAGCCGCTTAAAATCGATCCCACGAGCATCTGGAAGCCCGTGGAGCCCTTGAGGGTGCTGCCGAGGTGGTTCATCTTGAGCATCGCCGCCAAGCCCAGCGTGCTGATGAACGGCTGAAGGAACAGGTTCACGGCTGCATTCGTCAGCATGTACTGCTCTACCGAGGTGAAGCCCGCGTATTGGGCGGATGTTTCGCAATCGGAGCGTCCATCACAACCAAGGACGAATGCAAGGCCCATGAGCCAAACAGGAAAGACGACCACCAAGCACAACTTGAGAGAAATGAAGTCCTCTTGACCCATGACTTTCATCACGCTGTCACATAGTGGGCCTCTGACATAGTCATTGAACTGATCGATGATTTCCTCTTGCGAAGGGTAGCTCGTCACATGCCGAATGGCTTGGATTGCCTTCGAAGCAGTTTCATCAGGATCATCGTCCGAATCCTCCAGCAACAGCGTAGTGGGAGATGACTCGAGAGTGGTGCAGCAGAAAGACCGGGGCTGCTGCAACGCCTCGTCAAAGAGCTGTAACACCTGTACTGCTGTCCATACTGCGGATACTCGCGTGTGTTTGGTTTCAACCTCCTGAAATGACATGGACAATTGTAAGTACAAACAAACATCAACACAACACTTGCGCGAAAACCTGGTCTTGAACGGTTTTGGAACATGTCAATTATGAATGTTCTTCCGGTTTTGAACGCGGCTGTACCTGTTCTTCGATGACTTGTCGGTCACTCTCCACGGCACATTTGGCATCTCTCAGGTCAAAGTTCCGCATCTGATCCAGCATCTTCTTGTGGCTTCCAATCTTCTGGATGCAAAAGTAGCCGAAAGGCAGTGCCGTGACAAAGTAGACATATAGAGGTACCGGGCAGGAATTGAAAATTGATAAAAAAAGGGAAAACCGCGACTCCCTATCAAATTTGGGAGACTGAACTCCAGTCTCAAATAAGCTTGCTATAGAAGACGTAATAAACCAAACTAATGTCCACAAAGGCATCCACATGGGCACAATTTGGATCGCTGACGTTGAAGCCGAGGTTCGAGCTCGCACAGCTATCTCATAGTTGCACCAAAGTCGCTCAAAGTATGTCTTGTCCCACCTGAGCGGGTGAGACAGTTTCCCCATGCGTTTCTCTCAAAGCCGGTGGAATTTCCACCAGAACGATTGGATGTTAATGTGATCTCGACGAATCAACAACAAATTACACCAGCATAGATCCAGATAGCTAGGCAGAATCCCACGACCTGGTGACATGCGACTGGCTGGAACAAGATATACGCTGCACAGCCAGCTTACGGCACCTCCACAGCGGCACCCAGCACCAGCACCGGCACCAGCAACCTGTCTCCACCACGTGCAGCACCGGCACCGCCACCCGGCACAACCAGCTCACAGCACCAGGACCAGCAACCTGTCTCCACCACGTGCACAGCCAGCTCCAGCACCGGCACCCGGCACCAGCAACCTGTCTCCACCACGTGCACAGCCAGCCCACAGCCCCCCACGCGCACAGCCAGCTCACAGCACCAGCACCGGCACCCGGCACCAGCAACCTGTCCCCACCACGCGCACAGCCAGCTCACAGCACCAGCACCAGCATCGGCACCGGCACCAGCAACCTGTCTCCACCACGTGCACAGCCAGCTCACAGCACCAGCACCGGCTCACAGCACCCGCACCAGCACCGGCACCGGCACCCAGCACCAGCACCGGCACCCGGCACGAGCAACCTGTCTCCATCACGTGCACAGCCAGCTCACAGCACCAGCACCGGAACGCGGCACCCAGCACCAGCACCAGCAACCTGTCTCCACACGTGCAAGCTCACAGCACCAGCACCAGCAACCTGTCTCGAAAGCGCGCACGGGCAACTCATTGTTATTTGAAGTAAGAACCCCATAGCTTCGCTATCTGGGGAAAAATCAAAAACAACACGTCTCTATTCCCCCCGAACCATCCTTCACCACAGCACAACAAACCTTCCAAACCACCACCCAGTTGCAAAACGAGCATTTCGTTGGACTTGGCGATGAAGGCTGGAATGGTTTGAAGAATTTGAGCTTTCACCTCCTTTTGTGCTTGATCCACGCAGACTTGATCAAACCAGAAGGATTTCATCACCGTGAGGTGTCCGAAGAGATAGGGCACTATGAAGGCGATGGTGGGCCAGCCGATGAGGCAGCCGAACAAGACCTGTTGGGACTGCTGGGCAATACCACTGAAGCTGCCAGCGTGCAGAAGCAAGAGAAGCACTGCTAGAAGGCAAGCAAGGAAGGATGACAGTATGGCCAAATCCAAGTTAAAATAGTGGCAAAAGGCCAGGACTTTCATCCAAGAAGGGCATGACCACGAATGGCTCACAAAGAAATCCGCTTTAGCCACTGGTTCCAGCAAGTCGTACGAACTTTCATCACCGCCATTGACCATCGCGGATTCATCCACGAAGATGCCTAGCAGCAGAGTGGTGGTCACATTCCAAGCAGAGGCTGCTCGGAAGAGACCATACTGCCTGGCAAGGGCAGCTTTCTGCCGGAGCGCACGCATCCTGGCTTTGAAGATGTTTGAGAAAAAAGGACTACTAGGACCCACGGTCGGGTGGTTAATGGACACCCCGAATCACCTCTAAGGGCCTATCAATAGACACCCCTGGCCCGGGTGTCCTGGTAGTTAATGGAATTGAACAAAAAGGGGTCTACGGCACCAACAGGTCATCCAACTTTGGGCGCGGCCCAAATACATCCAAGTGGCCCTCTCACTTAATACATCCCCAAACACTCCATGGGACTGCCATATATGCCGATCAGGTGAGGTGGTGCCAGGGGGGTCAATGGGGCGGCAGTCCTATGGCAGTCCCATTAGTCGTGTCTGGGATCTACATCTGTCGGAATTCCGATGCCATGTTCACTCGGAGTTGCACGAACACAGGTTCAGTGTATGAATCGAATCGTCGGTGCACCTGTTTTCGTCGAATGGGCAACAGCTTCGTGGTCCTTCGCAAAGCTTCATGGACTCTGCTCTGTGAAAGAAGTGCAAGCATCCACCCAGCCCAAGACAAAAAGGGACCAAAACACCACCACTCTAGATGAAGCAGAGTTGACAACACGCAATACTAAAGACATGATGAACAAACAATTAGCCGCATATACGCTAAAAAAATCTAAAAATAAGAAGACGGGAGAAACCACGTGTCTCGTCCTTTTCTTCCTTTTCTCAAGACCTTCCCCCCTCCCCCACCGCAGCCTCACCGGTCGGCTCCGCACCAAAAACGCCCAACCTTCGACGTGTGAGGAAGCTGACGGGGGTGGTGACCGTGGGGGTGGTGACCGTTTTTCAACTCACCAAAAAGTATATGAATCAGTGACATTAGTCATCATCGCCCAAGTAAAGATTGAACATCAAACATCATGTGCGACACCACCGCCCAGAATGTCCTTTCATGTCACCCTCTTTCCCTCAATGCTCCAAGGGGAATATGTCATGTCAATATCAATGATATGCCTGAAGGTTTGAGAATCTTTGTGTGGTTTAGGCCTTCCTTCCTGTTGTCTCTGATGTGTTTTGCGTCCATTGTATGGCTGTCAAGTAGTTATTTATATAATAAATAGAGCTGTGAGATGCTTTAAGTGGTCGTAAGTGGAGTGTTGTGGCTTCAGGTTGCCTTTGTATCGCTGTTTAACAGTTTCTTGTGGGAAACTCCGAGCCCCACAGTGACATTTGAGAAACCTACGGACAAAACAACAATTAACACTACAAATCTCAACCTCATGTCAGAAAATAAACTAAATGTAATGAAGAAAAATCAACCAGCTTCGTCTCCAAATCTAAAGCCCTTGGAAGGGAGGTTATATAGTTAGTTCTTCTACGAACTGGGGGGTGAACTCCAGATTCCAGGCTTGTGAACAAGCCAGCAGGTAAGTACATGAGTCCCGGACAAGTGCAGCGCGTTCATTGAGAGCCTGCAACGCGGCGGCGTTTTTCGGCTGAGGGCTTTCGATAGCCTCCAAAAATGGACCCTAAGTGGGTACTCTGAGCCGAGCAACAACCTACCCAAAGAGCTGGGAAAAAAAGCCAAAAGTTCCACGACTGGCAGGTGGTTTGTAATTGAAACTTTGGAACAAGTTGATCTCTTGCACCGGACCACTTCACCACCCCCAATACATTATTGCTAAAGCAAAGGCAACTCAGGTAGCGTAACCGCTACCTTTCGTGACAAGTTGATCTCTTGCACACCAACCAACTGATGTCACTGTAGTCCTGAGAAGCAAACGGAGTGACGAGTGAGGGGGCCGAGGGGGCGACCCTGTCTCGAAGGCAAGGCTGCTGTTCTCAGCTGGTGAGAACGAAGAGACCCAACCCGGAAGAGATCCACCTGGAACCTCACGGCGTAAGGCCCAACTGGAAGACGATCTTCCAAGCTCCCAGCAAAGGTTGAAGAACCACTATAGACTCTAGTTCGACTATCCTAGTTCGGTATCCCTGGTTTTCCGGGTCCGGTCCCGGTCACTGGCTACCTCTGTAGGATACCAACCTGAGGTGGAACTCTTGGGTTTCATACAGACCGCGAAAACCAAGGGCGTTCATTCGACCCGGGGTTCGCCGACCCGGACTCTCGGATGGTCATCGTTTTGCTTCATTCCACTCCTCAGGTCCCGGATGCCTCTCTGTTTGTTCTCTCGCCCTATCTATCTCTCTCTCTCTCTCTCTGCCAGTGCACGGGCCTGTAAACATCCACAACCAAGTCCACTTAAAAGCAATGCTTTCCGATTGAATACTGTCAAAACTGGATATCCCGGTATCGGGATCCACAAACTATTCCATTCGTTAAAAATACTAGCAGGCTATCTGAGCAAAAATACATAATCATACACTAGATTCATATACTGTGAACGTATGTGAACGTTACATTGCATGTCTTCCAAGTATATAAGTCAAACGCCTGCAGCCACGCCGGGACGCGCAAAAACAATCCAGGCAATTGTCCCGCATACCTGCCAGCGTGAGAAAGAAAAGAACCAATAATTATGAATATGGGTCAAGACTCTGCAAACTCTCGCCATGCACTGCCAGCCATGCACTCATCCAAAACAACAAACGAATAGAACAAATGCACATGCATATACATCTAATTGTGTAAAGTATACTATACTTAGTGTCGTTGCTTTGTTTGGCCTGTCTGGTTCTCTTGGAGAGCAGCCCAGCAGTTCAGTTCAATGTTTGCCGCTTCAATCAATTCTACACATCCAGTGACCATCTCAAATCGTCTCTGTTGCGCATAAATGCACCTCGTCTTGTGCGAGGCGCATGTCCCACGGCTGGTCCAAGTCGGCGGAAGTTGATGAATCGGCCGTCGGACGATTCGACCTGCACCTGCGAACCACCAAGGTAGCGGCTGGTTTACAGGTCACTTCTGATCCAACCGGAATTGCGTGGAAAGCCACCGACTCTGACTCCATTGGCTTCCAAGGAAGATGCCATTTCAAGCTCTCAAAATATGCAATAGGATTGGCACCCTAACCTGTGCGGAGTGCGTACATGTGTGTCTTATGCCACAGGAACTGGTGTTAATTACGTGTCACGTGTCAATGCTGGATCATGAGCATGGCAAGCACGGCAAGGAGACTTCCACCGCTCAGCCTGAGTCTCTCACCGGTGGGATCACATCCGCCGACCTCCATGGGCAAACCACCCACTGCCGTGACAGTCGTCGTGAGGTTTTCCAAGCCAACAGCCCCCCGAATCTTCGTCGTACTGCCACACAGTACAATGATCTTCCCCAAGATCGCAGCAAACTCTTTTGCACAAAACTGCGCTGCTAGCAGTGACAAGATGTTCCAAACCCATGCACTGATCATGAAGCGTGCCCCATGAACAAGTCCCTTCGTCCTCCTGGTGCCATGTGCGGCCTTCCCAAAAGAGCACGACGAACATGAAGCCGAGGATGCCAGTGGCCCATTTGTACCGGATTCGACTATGCTTGCATCGGCGCATGCAATGTGGCAGTGATGAGCTCTTCCATTCCACAGGAACCTTCCAAAGCCTCAGCAACCGCCACCAGTGCGTGCACTTGTACCATGCATACTTGCTCCAGCAAATCATGCAAAGCGATGGGGGAAGGGCGAGAAGTGCAATGGCATTAAAACCACAAAACCATGCGATAAGGACCAAGAAAATCCCAAGCACACCCACGCAAAGCTCGACTGGCCACATCTGTTCACCTGTGTGGGGGATGCTCTGGATGATGTCCCAGGGCAAGTCTTGCATCGTGGTTGTCTTCCTTTTGAAGTCGCCTACATCCAAAATCATCATATCACAAGCTGCAGCCACTGTGCGAAAGGCGCTGTGGAACAAGCGAAGAGGAGACTCGTTCTCCGGAACACTGTTGCAATGTTCCTCTGCTCTTTCAGCCACACTCTTAGCAAAGGTCTTCTTCCACAGGTCAGAAAACTGCGAAGATTGGACCTGTTGAAAGAGCATGTCGCTGATGCGAGCCTTCAATTCATACACCCCCCGTGCTTCCTCATGTGCATTGAACATGGTCCACTCGGGCTCTTCCACCTCTGCTCCGGTATTTTGGAAGGCCTTCTTGGCAAGTGCTTTGATGGTTGACATGAGCTTCTCCAAATCTTTTGGATCCTGTGTGTCTGAGAAAGTGGCAACTGGCAGAACTTTGACTGGGAAGCGTTGATCAAACTTGAGCTCTTCCAGCTGTTCACTCATCTTCTTGGCCTCCTTCTCCTGGAATTGGCGGATGTTCGACACCGAGACACAAAAAAGGATGATGTGAGGGGTGTGCTCGGACACGAGTTCATACTCCTTCAAGACCTTCTTGTACTCCATCTTGATATCTGTGCTGGTTTCATGACTCCACCCTGGAGTGTCAATCAGCACCACCTTCAGCACCTTCATCTGGTCCGGAAGATTCTTGAGCTTCAGAACACAGCTTTGTGCCTGAATGGTCTTATCCTCCGCTCGTGGGCCCGTGTGAAAGTGGGAGCCGCACAAGTGATTCACCAAAGTGGTCTTGCCTGCACCAGCTGGCCCCAAAACCACGCAGCAGTGTGTGAGGGCGATTTGCTCCACCGGCTTCAAAACATCTTGAATGAAATCTGGTTCGGCTGATGAAACACGTGTATCTTTGAAGCCTTCTTGCAAGTAGCTTTCAAGTTGAGCAAGGAGAGCTGGGACCTTTGCTTCAAGTAGTCTGGGATCTGGAGCTTCTGGATGCCTCGTCTTCAACATCTTCAACAAGGCTGACTCCGTCGACAAGGCTGACTCCAGCCTGGAGGAACAAGCACTCAATTGGCAACACACTGCTTGATGAAAGGCCTTTCCTGAAGCCAGCCAGCTCCATGAAGGCTGTGAGCCCGCTTCCTCCGGCTGCTCGGAGTCTGGGAGGAAAGGGCGGTTCATGGCTCACAGGCTCAAAGGAGGAATCACCAAATCAGGGCCTTTCTTCTTCGAAAGCCAAAAATGTTCCAGGGAAACCACCAAACTTCGTGCCAAACGACTCCGCCATTTTTTGCCAAGTTTTCTCTTGATGTACCAAGCTGGATGTACATGATGTGTGGTATCATCATGAAAGCGATTCAAAACGTGATGATCATCTCGCGCCCTCGGCGAAAGCCAAGGCAGCGAACCTCGAACACCTGCTTTACGTGCTGCTGGCCTGGCTCGAGAATGTGCAAGACATGACTGGCCTGGTGGTTTGTGGAAGAATGAAATGCACAAATGCCGTGCTGGTGGGTTGAATGTATGTCATGTATGTCGTATTGAAATCACTTGTACGATTGATCTTCCTGGGTTGATTGGCTTCTGCCTGAGTATGTCACTTGTTAACTATGGTCCAAGTAATGTATATAACTCATACATTCATGCACAGTTCATCTCGACTCCGATGACAGTACTAGCCTAGCCATTTCAAATCATGCCAAAAACATCCAAAAACCTGCAGCGAGCATCCTGTTCCCACCTGGGACCACGACCGATTCGGATGGCCGCCCGGTTTATCGTCTGTGTGACCCTCTCTCTGCACAAGGACGTCAAAGGTAGAAGTCTCTTGGTATTCTCTCGTCTTTAGATCATATATGTCATATGTCATGCTTCTGCATCAGGGAAGGGACAACCTGCAGGATGGAGCCTGACCGTGGCATATCGTGCCAACCCAAAATCCCTTGTGCACGCGGCACATCGAGCTGGTGGCTGGTGGCGCTCTTGGGGATGTGCTTGACCAGGTCATCACTTCCAAGATGAACAAGTTTGGAAATGGGAGGGGGGCTCAGGAGTCGCAATGTTTTGCACCAAGACTTCCAGATTTGCCCGGCGTTCTTTGATCAGATTGGCCATAGGGACGCTCAAAAAGGTTCATCAAACGGACCACATACAGTCTGGGTTTTCGAGTACCATGCTCATCTTCGCCAGCCTGGCTTTCCGGAAAGCAGTGGTTTCGCCTGGTTGAGGGGAGCTCTGAATGCATCTTCTTCAAACATCCAATAAGCCATGGATCAGCATTGAGCACTGGGAGCTGCCTGGAACACAAACAAACATAAACAAAGCGTGACGGCTGCTGTCCAGAATGCCTGCGGACATGGACTCAAGCTAAAAACATGTGGAACACGGTGGAAAGCTGAGCAAACCAATGCACACCCAAAACATCAATTCTATTGACAATGCACATCGCATGAAAAATGAGACTCTTGTTTACCTTGAAGTTCAAGCCTCACTATGGACCATTGGCCATGTCATTTGATTTTAATTCAACAATCTACATCGAAGTCCGGCATCACCCACCGCCTTCTCCTCACCAAAGATGATGTGTAGCCATCACCATGGCTGACGACCTGTGCGCGTCGAGGCATGCGGCGTAACGCAAGGGCTGATGTGACTGACTGTAAGCCTTGAAAGACGTCGGGATACTCGATGTCAAGCGATTGAACTTTGAACGCTGGTTGAAGGGAAGTGATGCGTGCACAATTCGCGATAAAGGCATGGTATGGCTCTCAGAAAATTTCCATCCAAGCTGGTAGTGCCAGCCGGTTAGCCAGAGATTGCAACAGGCCGTGGTTCCACAAGCACATCAAAGTGTGGAAAGAAACATTGAGACTGCTTAAGGAGAGTGTCTACCTACATAGAATGCAAGATCAGGCACAAACAGTAGCCAAGAGAACCTTCCGGCTGAGGTTTCTGCCATGCTATCCGTCTTGCCTCACACCCCGCGCAGCCTAACGAGGAACCACAAGACCACTGAACCGGGCATCTTCAAACATATCTTCCAAGTTTCATATCACAGGTTGCCAAGATATGTCAAATGCCTTTCGGCATTCAAGGCCTTCAAGCACATGTGGCCCTGTCAGCGCAACAGTTTTCTTCAAAGCACGTGTCTGTGGATCAATGAAGGCGAACAGCTTCTAGGCTTGGCACCAAAATCAGCCCATGCTTCGTGCAAAAGCTGCCGCGACTATAGTGCTTTCCCTGAGAATCGGAATCAAATCCTCCGACCCCCGGACTCTACCACACCTTCCTTAACCTTGCAGTCATCATCATTTGCATGTCCGATCTCACACCTGCGCAAACCAACTGTACCCGGGTCGTGATTGATGCAGAATTGCCACACAGTGCATGCATGCCACCCCAGGTGGCAGCAAGCCACCCTGCACTCATCTGCGGTTTGCACATCGTCCAGCATCGTCGAGAGCTCGCAATAAGCTCGCTGATCAGACCACTTGCAAGCCTCACCAGCTTGGTCGAACTGCTCTTCCACCTCATGGTACTTCAATGTCATGTTGGCTGCCTTGTTGCGCTCTCGCTCGGATATGGCCTTCTGATGCTCAAGAAGCTTGGACGTCCGGTTCAACTGTCCCCGCATTTTGCGGTACTTCTCCGTCAGCTTGTGGTACTTGTGAGCCACGTCATCCTTCTCATGGGCAAGCTGCGTGGCACTTTGGGAGGTCTGGTTGAACTTCTCCTGCACCTCGCTGTATTTCTCAGTCAGCTCATGGTACTTGTGAGCCATGTCATCCTTCTCATGGGCAAGCCGCGTGGCACTTTGGGAGGTCTGGTTGAACTTCTCGTGTACCTCGCTGTACTTCTCAGCCAAATTGTGGTACTTGTGAGTCATGTGGTCTACCCTCCTTTGTTTCTGCAGCATGGCGCTGCGCCACTCAAAAGCACGCATGCCCAACACGCACATCAAGAAAAACAGCAAAGCAATTAGATGCCATTTCTGGGAGCGAATGTGTCTGCAACGGTGCCCTGTCAGGGAGAGTGGCCACAGGTTCGCACATTCCTGCTGCCAAAATTGGTGCCTGCACCACGGATACTTGCTGGAGCAAACCACACCAAGCAACAAAAGAACGGAGATCGTGGCAAAGGAGATCGTGGCCAAGGCCTGCCAACCCCAAGACCATGCAAGCATGCCAAGGAAAACCCAACAAAAGCCTGCGAACGTGCCCGAGACAATCCCAAGCACACCCACACAAATTGCCATAAATTGCCACATCTGTTCAGTTGTGTGTGGAATGCTCTCGATGATGCCCCACGGCAAGTCCTCCACCTCCAATGCTGCTGGTCTCATCATCAGAAACTTCGCTCCCACAAGACGCGGCCACTGTGCGAAAGGCGTTTTGGAACAAGCGAAGCGGAGACTCATTCTCCGGGAAGCTGTCGCAATGTTCCTTGGTTCTTTCAGCCACACTCTTGGCAAAGGCCTTCTGCCAGAGGTCAGAAAACTGCGAAGATTGGACCTGTTGAAGGAGCATTTTGCTGATGCGAGCCTTCAATTCGTTCACCCCTCGTGCTTCCTCATGTGCATTGAACATGGTCCACTCGGGCTCTTCCACCTCTGCTCCGGTATTTTGGAAGGCCTTCTTGGCAAGTGCTTTGATGGTTGACATGAGCTTCTCCAAATCTTTTGGATCCTGTGTGTCTGAGAAAGTGGCAACTGGCAGAACTTTGATGGGGAAGCGTTGATCAAACTTGAGCTCTTCCAGCTGTTCACTCATCTTCTTGGCCTCCTTCTCCTGGAATTGGCGGATGTTCGACACCGAGACGCAAAAAAGGATGATGTGAGGGGTGTGTTCTGAGACCAGCTGCTTCTCTTTCAAGATCTTTTTGTACTCCATCTTGATATCTGTGCTGGTTTCATGACTCCACCCTGGAGTGTCAATCAGCACCACCTTCATCTGGTCCGGAAGATTCTCGAGCTTCAGAACACAGCTTTGTGCATGAATGGTCTTATCCTCAGCTTGCGGACCCGTGTGAAACTGGGAGCCGTACAAATGATTCACCAAAGTGGTCTTGCCTGCACCAGCTGGCCCCAAAACCACGCAGCAGTGTGTGAGGGCGATTTGCTCCACCGGCTTCAAAACATCTTGAATGAAATCTGGTTCGGCTGATGAAACACGTGTATCTTTGAAGCCTTCTTGCAAGTAGCTTTCAAGTTGAGCAAGGAGAGCTGGGACCTTTGCTTCAAGTAGTCTGGGATCTGGAGCTTCTGGATGCCTCGTCTTCAACATCTTCAACAAGGCTGACTCCGTCGACAAGGCTGACTCCAGCCTGGAGGAACAAGCACTCAATTGGCAACACACTGCTTGATGAAAGGCCTTTCCTGAAGCCAGCCAGCTCCATGAAGGCTGTGAGCCCGCTTCCTCCGGCTGCTCAGAGTCTGGGAGGAAAGGGCGGTTCATGGCTCACAGGCTCAAAGGAGGAACCACCAAATCACGGCCTTTCTTCTTTTTAAAGCCAAAAATGTTGCAGGGAAACCACCAAACTTCGTGCCAAACGACTCCGCCATTTTTTGCCAAGTCTTCTCTTGATGTACCAAGCTCGATTTACATGATGTGTGGTATCATCATGAAAGTGATTCAAAACGTGATGATCATCTCGCGCCCTCGGCGAAAGCCAGGGCAGCGAACCTCGAACACCTGCTTTACGTGCTGCTGGCCTGGCCTGGCAAATGTGCGGTTCTCGTGACTGGCCTGGTGGTTTAGTGGAAGAATGACATGCACTGCTTGCGTCTTCTGCCGGACGCCGTAGCACAGGTCTTGACTGACACAAGTCTTGGTGGGTCCGAGCTGTATGTCCAAGCATCGAAAATACTACGAAACCAATCTGCCTTGGTGCTGTTTTGGCTCTTGAAGAGTATGTATGTCACTTGTTAACTATGGTCCAACGTAATGTATACCTCATACATTCATGCACAGTTCATCTCGACTCCGATGACAGTACTAGCCACAGACCTGCAGGACTCGCATCCTGCTCCCACCTGGGACCACGACCGATTCGGATGGCCACCAGGTTTGATGGTCTGTGTGAGCCTCTCTGTGCACGGCGTCCGTTGTCTCCAGGTCCTCGCCTGCGGAAGCGCTCTTGGACAAAGGTAGAAGATGGTAGAAGTCTCTTGGTATTCTCTCTCTTTAGATCCTATGTCATGCTAACCTGCATCAGGGGAGGAGACACCTGCAATGTTTCAGCCTGACCGTTCCATCTGCATGTGGCACATCGAGCTGGTGGCTGGTGGCGCTCGAGCTGGGATGTGCTTGACCAGGTGTCAAGTCCAATCCCAGGTCATCACTTCCAAGATGAACAAGTTTTGAAATGGGAGGGGGTGGGCCTCTTCTTCAGCAAGGCTGACTCTCCACTGGTGCAGCAAGCACTCAAGTGGCGAGCCAACCAGCTGCAGGATGACCTTGAGGCTACTTCCCTTCCCTGCTCAGCATGATGCAAAAAGAAGGTCGTCCAAATCAACAAATCTAAATCAGTGACAAGTTTGCCCCCAAAGGTAGTGAGGTGCTCTTACTCTAACCCTAGATAGGGTGCTCCGCCAGTCTGTCTTGCAAACACCAAACAAACCAACCGACTGAATGATCTGAATGAATTCCCTAAGTCCCACTCTCGTTCTAGTTGGCCCTCAAAACAGCAGGTGGAGCTTCCGCAACAACATTGACAACTCAGAATAGCTTACTAGCTTGCTATCGTGTAATCCATCATCAAACAAACACAGAAACACCATGTACTCTCTATGAAATAAGGGTCCAAAACCCATATGATGAAAGTGATTGGCAATTCTATAGAGCTTGGCTCACGGGGGGATATAGATACCTACTTTAGGCCCTGGCTGTCCACCACCACATCCAACAAAGTCCAGCCGGCGGACCTGCAGGCTCATGGGTCGGTGAAGCGCTTCGGCCTCGCCAGGCAAAGGGCCCCAAGCTCTAAAGGTGTCGTTGAAACCATTTGTTGCCCAAAAAACGATCACGTAGAAACACGTCGGCTCAACCACATGCATACTATATGACTATAATTGACTACTTGTATGGCTTGTATATACGAGTACTTATTTAATTTAACGACAAAGTAGTGACGTACGTACGCTCTGTCGTTTTCTTCAAGACAATGTCTAGCCAGGACATCTGTGTATAGTTGTGTGCTTCGTTTTGCGAGCGTTTTGCAAGTGAAACTGTGTTCGAAAGAACCACTACTTTCAGTGCTGGAAGAAAGCACCACGGCATCGTCCTTGCTCATTTTGGAACAAACACATCATTGATCATCCTTTAATCATTAATCTGTTGTATGGAAAACATATCTTCCAAGCAAAGCATCTCGATCATTTCCAAACACATCCTTTAATATCCTTTAATCTCTCCCTTCCTTTGTCAAAGAGTTTGTGTTTTTTAATCTTGCCAGATTGATGCCATTTGATAGGAAGGCCGCGGACGTCCACCGTATCGTGATGTCTCGTGAATGTTGGCCTCTCTTTCCCATACAACCAAACCAATGGTCGACCTTTGTGCCTTGCAATCGTGGCCGCACTTCTGGCAGTAGCTAACGACTTCAGGGAAGGAACATGATCCCTGAGAGTGAGGCAGCAGTCTCCACTTCGAATGCTTTGCAAAGCTGATGGATGCAGTCTTTGCAAGTCTTTGTGGCCAATGGACGGATAAAATAAGGATGGACGTTGAAAAAGTAAGTGAATCATGGAGTTTGCCCCCCCCCCCCCCCCCCCCCCCCCCCCAAAAAACACATCAAAACACTGAGCATCAACCAGAACAAAATCGATCTGGTGTTGCGGGCGTCTATTTTCGCCCCATGCCTTTCCGCTAGACTCGTCTAGACGTCACCTCCCACCGATGTGATCTCCGCCTGGCATGAGTGCAGTGCGCTCCGACTTCAGCTGAGCTCACAGCTGCTATCCTGACAGGCGTTTGCCCCCCCTTAAACGCCTTAAATTCGGAACTCAGCTGAACTGAACTCTTCAGACTTGTTCAAAGCACCAAAAACCGATGTGTTGTTTCATTTGGTGGGAGCAACTGCACTTTTTCCGCCTTGCAGCGATGCCACAAACCTTGCATGGCGATCTCTTGTCTTTGCAGGTCGATCGGTCCATTGGAACGTCCGGCTTGGATGGAGATTGAAGCCGTTCTGGATGAGAGAGGCTGTTGGGCAACGGGACAATCCATCATCATGTGTTTCAACACAAGCGGATTCTCACTGAAGGTCTGAAACAAACAGTGCTTTCATTCACGAAGAAGCCTCTCAAAATTCAACCGGGCATTATACTGACTCAGTAAGGCTAATTCGCTTCCAGGAAAGATGTCATACCTCAAGCCTTCAAACACCGTGCTTAAAGCATGACATGAACGCGGGAGTTCAATTGCCCGCCTGGGCAGCGAAAAGGGTCGTGCAAAACAATCGCATGCAATCACCACATGTAAATGACTTGGATCACACAACAGCCACTTTTTTTGGAATAACACTGGCGAAGCATAGATCAACAAATTCATGCCCAGAGAAACTGCCACTCAACTTACACTGCAACGATGAAACTTCCCTCTACATCCCCAAGTCCGACACGACAAACAACTCTTTTGAAGAGCCCCTGAGAAAGGCTGTAATTTTCAAACATAATTGATGGAATCAGTGTCTTGGGAGAATGCAAGGAAGGTCCAGTGCATGTCTCTATGTTTAGAAATTGAAGCAGTCGCCCTTTCAGCGCTCACTGGCTCTTGGTTCCCTGTCCTATTCAACAACGATAATAACGGGCTCCGGTGAAAAGGCTTCGCCTATCGAACATGACACTAGTAGAATAGGATCATCTAAAATTTAATCAAGCATTTCCAAACGCAACTAACGGTGGCGGGGCGCCCACTGCTGGCACCTTGGCTTGCGCAAGGTGTAGGCAACCCACAAATTCACTGTTTGACATCATAAGAATCAAGTCCGCACAGAAAATGCATGAAAATACATCGCATAAAACTCGGGAAAGCGGTGCCGAAGAACCCCAAGTAAGGTCTCGTGCTTCCAAGTCATTGCGCCTAGCCCCTCCCGTGTAATCTTGTGTGCAGACTGCTCAGCCTGGTAC